CTTGATTTCAGCTCAGGTCCTGATTTCAGGGTCATGAGATCAAGCCCCACGTCGGGCTCTGTGTTGAGCATGGAGCATGCTTAAGATTCTCTCTCTCCGGGCAGCCCTGGTGGCCCAGCGGTTTAGCACTGCCTTCAGCCCAGGGCCTGATCCTGGAGTACCAGGATCAAGTCCCATGTCGGGCTCCCTCCATGGAGCCTGCTTCTGCCTGTGTCTCTGTCTCTGTCTCTCCCTCTCTATCATGAATAAATAAATAAAATCTTTAAAAAAAAAAAAAAAGATTCTCTCTCTCCCTTGATCTCTGTCCCTTCCCCTCTACCTCATGCTCTCTTAAAAGAAGGAAAAAAAAAAAAAACACCTTAAAAAATTGAAAAGTTGATTTTTTCCAAAATTTTAAAATTTGGGGCTTGAAAAGATATCATTTAAAAAGATTTATAGAGCAGCCCGGGTGGTTCAGCAGTTTAGCACCCCCTTCAGCCCAGGGCCTGATCCTGGAGACCCGGGATCGAGTCCCACGTCAGGCTCCCTGCATTGGAGCCTGCTTTTCCCTCTGCTTGTGTCTCTGCCTCTCTCTCTGTGTGTCTCTCATGAGTAAATAAAAAAAAAAAAATCTTTATAAATAAATAGATTTGTAAATCTTATAATGATAAACAACTTGTGTTCAGTACATATAAGGAACTCTTACAATTCATTAATAAAAAGAAAAATAACCGAATTTTAAAATGAGCAAAAGATTTGTTTTTTTAAAGATTTTATTTAATGAGATGCTTGGGTGGCTCAGCAGTTGAGCACCTGCCTTTGGCCCAGGGTGTGATCCTTGAGACCTGAGATCGAGTCCTACATCTCCCTGCATGGAGCCTGCTTCTCTCTCTGCCTACGTCTCTTAAAAAAAAAAGATTTTATTTATTTATTCATTTATTTGAGAAAGAGAGAGAACAAGAGGAGGGAAGAATAGAGGAAGAGTGACAAGCATACTCTGTTCTGAGCATGGAGTCCAGCTTAGGGGCTCAATCCCAGGACCCAGAGATCATGACCTGAGCCAAAACCAAGAGTCAGACACTCAACCGAGCTACCCAGGCACCCCTAAAATGGGCAAGAGATTTGAATAGACATTTTTTCAAAGAAAATGTACACATGGCATAAAACACATGAAAAGGTGCTCAACATCAGTCATAAGACAAGTGCAAATCAAAACTATAATGATGTCACACCCACAAGAATGGCTATAATTCTTCAAAAAACTATCAAAAAACAAAATAATAAACATTGGTTAAGGTGTGTAGGAACTGGAATGTTTGCACACCGTTGGTGCATGTGAAATGGTGTAGCTACTATAGAAAACAGAATGGCAGTTCCTCAAACAATTAAAAATAGAATTACCATATCATTCAATAATTCCACTTCTGGGTATATACCCAAAAGAACTGAAGGCAAGGTCTCAAGAGATGTTTGTACACTCATGTTCATAGCGACATTGTTCACACATAATAGCCAAAAGGTACAAGCAACCCAAAAAGTCCACCAGTGGAAGAATGAATACACAAAATGTGGTATATACACACCATGGAATATTACTGAGACTTAAAAAAGGAAGGAAAGGGATCCCTGGGTGGCGCAGCGGTTTGGCGCCTGCCTTTGGCCCAGGGCGCGATCCTGGAGACCCGGGATCGAATCCCACGTCGGGCTCCCGGTGGATGGAGTCTTCTTCTCCCTCTGCCTGTGTCTCTGCCTCTCTCTCTCTCTCTGTGACTATCATAAATAAATAAAGAAAAAATATTTAAAAAAAAAAAAAAGGAAGGAAATTCTGACATATGCTACACCATGTATGAATCTTGAGGACATTATGCTAGATGAAATAAGCCAGTCACAAAAGGGCAAATACTGTATCAATCCATTTATATGGGATACGTAGAATAGTCAAATATAAAGAAACAGAAAGTAGAATAGTGGATTAGGAGGAAGAGTAGGGAGTTGTTTAATGTGCAAGGAGTTCCATTTTTACAAAATGAAAAAGTCCTGGAGATTTGACTGCACAATAAGGGGAATACACTTTAAAAAGTGGTTAAGATGGGGGCACCTGGGTGGCTCACTCAGTTGAGCTTCTGAGTCGATTTTTGGCTGTGATTGGCAAGTAATCTGCTTGGAATTCTCTCTCCCTCTCCCTCTGTCCCTCCCCCAACACATGCACTCTGTTTCTCTAAAAATAAATAAACATCTTTAAAAAAAAAAAAAGTTAAGATGGCAATTTTGTCATGTGCGTTTTACCACTATTCTTTTTTTTTTTTTTTAACACGATTCTTTAAATTGAAGTGTAGGTGATACACGTTACATTAGTTTCTGGTGCACTACACAGTGACTAAGTGACTCAGAAAGTCTATATGCTGTGCTCACCACAAGTATAGCTACCACCTGTCACCATACAACACTATTACAACACTATAGACTATGTTCTCAGTTTTTGCTTTGTTGTTTAAATCACAATGAGAACGTAATTCACACTTACTAGGATGGGTATAATCAAAATGACAAGTGTTAGTGAGGATGTGAAGAAACTGGAACTCTCACACTTTGCTGGTGGGAATGTAAAAGCCACTTTGAAAGCAGTCTGGCAGATTCTTAAAAAGTTAAATAAACATAAATAGCAATTTAACCTACCTAGCCAAGAAAAATGAAACACAAGTCCACACACAGAATTGTGTGTGAATGTCCATGGGAGCATCATTCACAATAGCCAAAAGATGAAAACAATTCCAATGTCCATCAACTGGTGAACAGGTAAAAAGAAAAAAATGTGGGATATTCATACCATGAAATACTATTCACCAATAAAAAGGAATTAAATACTGAGATGCTACAACATGGATGAATCTCAAAACCAGTATGCTAAAGTGATAGCCAATCAAAAAAGACTACATATTATTGGTGTAGGAGGTCATTGAGAGGACCTGACCACAGGCTGAGGCTCCTTACCCACTTCCCTATCCTCGGGATGAGTCCCACATCGGGCTCCCTGCATGGAGCCTGCTTCTCCCTCTGCCTGTCTCTGCCTCTCTCTCCTCTCTCTCTCTCTCTCTCTCTCTGTGTGTCTCTCATGAATAAATAAAATCTTTAAAAAAATCATTAAAATTAAAATGAGCAAATTATGTGATATGTAAATTCTATATCTCAATAAGTTGTTTTTAAAAAGTGAACTCAGATTTCTGGGTTGCACAGTGAGGGACAATTTGTTCAGATAGGTGTTCTGCCATAAATACAATTTGTATAAACTAAACGAGTGAAATATACAATTTCTAGATTTTACTCCAATAGGATTAAAACACCGCACATGAAAACCACAGAACAGGTCGTGATAGCCTTTGCAACTCCTTAGAAGTATAACAAAAAAATTCTGTAGTTGTCAACTGACAAATATGTAAGGAGGAAACAAATTTTCCCACCAGGAGCTCCTGAACAGGGTCATACCACAGGTCAGCCTTGCCACGGGAACTAGCAAAATAAAACCTCACCCTAGAAACTACCCACACTAGTGGGTAGTGAGAACGCAATGGCGTTGCCAACACTTAACTAAGAGCAGAATTAGAAAACCAGCACTGAATTGCAGGTAGCCTCTTGTCTGCTCTCATGCCTCCATTATGGCCGAGCCAAGGCAGCAGGCATTTACCTTGCAAAATAGGTAGCCTCTTGGACCCTACTGCCCCCTAGGACTGGGACAAAGTTGAAATACAGAGATGACCCCAAAAAACGAACGAACCAACCAAAAAACCCAGAAATCTCAGTTTGGAGCTTTCAAGATTCAATTCCTTCATGAGTCGCATCTTTTTAATTCAAGTTTATTTAAGTATTGTCTACACCCAAAGCAGGGGCCCAAACTCAGGATCCCTGAGGTCGAGTCACACGCTCCTCCTACTGCCCCAGCCAGGCACCTTTCCTTCAAGAGTAACACTAACCTTAACTGATTTTTTTTCCCAGACACTGAGCTCCCCAAATAAGACCCAACCATGCCAGACCCGCTCCAATGCGCCTTTCGGACTGAAGGCGCAACCCTGATCACCCCTGTACTCCCAGCCCGGGCAACCCTGGCTTCAGACTCCCCCACTCAGGCAACCAGCTTGGTGCAGGGAATACAAGGGCGAGCAAGTGAGCGCGCTGCCCTGCCCTGCCCTCAACGGGAATAATTTATTAACCACGAACATTATGGGATCCCTGGGTGGCGCAGCGGTTTGGCGCCTGCCTTCAGCCCAGGGCGTCATCCTGGGGTCCCGGGATCGAGTCCCACACGGGGCTCCCTGCATGGAGCCTGCTTCTCCCTCTGCCTGTGTCTCTCAGGAATAAGTAAATAAAATCTCTCAAGAAAAAAAAATTAACCAAACATTAAACAGCCAAAAACGGTCATTAAATAATCCCTGAAGCAAACTTACAACTACACATGGTAACGGGCAGGGGAAGTGGAGGCGCTTTGGAGATGGTGCGACAGGAGACTGTGTCTGCTCTAAATCTTTATCCATATTAACTCATTTAATCATCCAAAGACCCTATACGGTAAGTTCTAGGATTACCCCACTTGGGGGATGAGAAAATGTGGGCACAGAGAGGTCAGGGGACGCGCCCGGGGTCACCCCGCCCAGGCGCACGCGCGGCCGCGGCCCGACTCGAGACGCCTGAGGTAATCACCTAATCTGCCCGTCGGTAAATCCCGGAGGGAAGAGTGAAGCCGGGGCAGGGCCGGCCCAGAGAGCGCCCTGCTGTGGGGAGGACCGGCAGGGAGGCTGCGAGCGACGCGGGAGAGGCCGCTGGGGCGGCCCGGCTCGTCCCACAGCAACGCGGCTGGCCCACCTGCCGCTTCTCAACTGGGCAAACGGAGGACCCTGAGGAGCCGGAACGCAGGTTCTGAGGCACCGGCCCCCCTCAGCCCCCCTCAGCTCTCCTTGCCGGAGGTGGTCAGCGGCACAAGGAAGCACCGAGGCGGGGCCCAGCCCCTGCCCTCGGCACGAGGCACTCACCTGGCCTGACCGAGGCGTACAGCCGCGGCCCCTCTGGCGGCCTCTCAGACAGCCTCTCGCGCCTCCTCTCCAGCCTCTGCGCTCCCACCTTGCCCTGCGCGCCTGCGGCCCCGCCCCCGCAGCCCCCCCCCGCAGGCCCCGCCCCCGCAGGCCCCGCCCACAGCGCCCACAGCGCCCCTGCCGGCTGGGAGGCTGCGAGGCCGCGAAGGCTGCAAGGCGCAGGCTGGCTAACTGTCTTCCAGGCCCTTCTTGCGGCTTTTCCCCTTTCCTCCCTCCCTCCCTCCCTGGCTTTTCCTTTGTCTTTCAAGTTTTCAGTCACACAGTCATTCTAGTGCTCATTCTTACACTTAATAATTATGTGTGCGCCAAAAACAGCAGCAACAACCCCCCCAAAAAAACAACCACCATTAAGTGTGTGCCAGAAAGTGTTCGCAGGATAAAGCAGAGAAGACAAAAGGCCTGTGCCCGCCAGCTTACGTTCTAGAAGAGGACAGCAGAGGAGTGGCCTTCCAGCCTTGTTACTCCCAGACGCCGTTGCGACACCTTTTACCCCCTCCCTTTCCAGGACACTGACACACACACACACACACACACACACACACACACCCCTAAAACTCAAGCTCAGGCTTCACGGAGCAATACTTACCCAGGAGATTGGCAGCTCCTCAAAAGACAACCAGAAAACTTGTGACCGGGATCCCTGGGTGGCGCAGCGGTTTGGCGCCTGCCTTTGGCCCAGGGCGCGATCCTGGAGGCCCCGGATCGAATCCCACACCGGGCTCCCGGTGCATGGAGCCTGCTTCTCCCTCTGCCTGTGTCTCTGCCTCTCTCTCTTTCTCTCTCTGTGACTATCATAAATAAATAAATAAATAAATAAATAAATAAATAAATAAACAAACAAACAAATAAATAAATAAATAAGAAAAAGAAAAACTTGTGACCAAGCACAATTAACTCTGTAAGGCTTGCTGCAGTATTGGAAAACGCTAACCTTGGCAATCCCGGTAGGATCTCGGAATGGAGGGACAAGGAAAGGAAATTGTGAGGTTCAGGGGGACCCCTGGGTGGCTCAGTTGTTTAGCGCCTGCCTTTGGCCCGGGGCGCGATCCTGGAGTCCCGGGATCGAGTCCCGCGTCGGGCTCCTGGCGTGGAGCCTGCTTCTCTCTCTGCCTGTGCCTCCGCTTCTCTCTATCATGAATAAATAAATAAAAAATCTTAAGAAAGAAATTGTTAGGTTTTACATGGTCGGTGGAAGAATTAGGGACTGCAGAGCCAGGCAGCGCCAGGTTCGAGAGTGCTTTAACATGAAGCGCTCCTGGGCGAGGTTCCGAGGCTCGAGGGAAGGCGCGCCCAGGAGTTTTTATACCTGTGCAAGTAAAAAAAAAAAAAAAAAAATGCTTAGGGACATAAGGTTTTTTTGTGATAGGGTGAAGCAAGGTACATGCTCTTGTTTTTGGCTGATTCTGGTGTTCTTCCTCTTTTAGGCGGGTCTCAGTAGGTCGTGAGTTGTTTGTGGCTTGAGGAGTTCCAGGAACTTATCTGGAGTGACATCTAGTGGAAGGGTGACCCCACCTATTAGCCTTAGGTCACCCATTTTGGAGAGGCCCTACCTCTGTCGGCCCGACAGAAATGTATATAGAGTCGGGGTCTGGGATTGGGTAGTTCAAGCAGGTCTTTCAAGATAAGAAGTGACTGGGAGTCTGTGAGACCTAACTGGCAAGAAAGATGTTATCAAGAAAGCGGAAAATTTGAATTTTAAAAGGACATTTTTAGTTCCTTAAGTGTATTGGCTATCAATGAGTTTAAAAGGCTATAGAACTTCCTCTTTAGTAATATAGCTTCTTCTTGTTCTTCTTTTTTTTTTTTTAAAGTAGGCTCCAGGGCTTTTTAGGTGGCTCAGTGGTTGAGCAACTGCTTTTGGCTCAGGGCATGATCCTGGGGTCCCAGGATCAAGTCCTACATCGGGCCCCCATGGGAGCCTACTTCTCCCTCTGCCTATGTCTCTGCCTCTCTCTGCGTGTCTCTTGTGAAAAGAAATAAATAAAATCTTTAAAATACATAAAAAAAGTAGGCTCCACACTCAGCACAGAGCCCAACATGTAGCTCAAAATCATAACCCCAAGATCAAGACCTGGGCAAAGATGGAGAGTCAGACTCCCAACCAACTGAGCCACCGAGGCACCCTATAGTAAGTAGCTTTAATAAATAACATCCTTCAAATTTTAAAGAAATGTTAAATGTAATTTCCTTGATATTTATGTACTAAACAAATTATATATTATAAATTTTGAAATACTTTTTAAGGATTTTATTTATTTATTTATTTCAGAGACAGAGAGAGAGCAAGTACACAAGCAGGGGGGAGGGGTGGAGTGAGAAGTAGGCTCCCTGCTGAGCAGGGAGCCCATGTGGGGCTCCATCCCAGGACCCTGAGCAGGATACAGACACAACCAAATGAGCTACCCAGGCACCCCTACATTTTGAATTATTTTTAAAAACAGGGCTTGTTTGGGATTGGGCAAACGTCTTGGAGTAAATTTTAGGATTAGTGAATACAAGGCAAGGATCTTAAAGCAAGTCTCAGTAATTAAAATTGCTATTTGACAGGAATGTGTTTTCCTAGATGAGTAATCTCAATGAGATTCCTAGTTCAAGAGCCCATCCTGTAAACTGTTCAGAAAAATAGGTCTGAACAAATTCCTAAACCAAACAATTATTGATTTATAGCCTTATCTTACTGAGCACAGCATCATTTTTGCTGTATTCTACAGGTCAAAGCAATAGCAAAGAGCTCCCAGACTCAAGGAAAGGGGAACAGGCCACATCTCTTGATGTAAGGAATATCAAAGAGCGTAACCATCTTAAATCCTCCACATTTGAGGGCACCTGGCTGGCTCAGTAGGTAGAACACGTGACCCTTGATCTTGAGGTTGTGAGTTCAAGCCCCATACTGGGTGTAGAGATTACATAAAAAATAAAATCTTAAAAAAAAAAAAATCCTACACGTTTGGATGATGTAGAAAATAAGGAGTCCCTTCTTCTGAGCTAAAGAAAGAAGAGGAATACAGGAGAGGCAGCCCAGGTGGATTGGCTGATCATTGCCAATTAAACTTTCCTCTTGGCAGGGAAACCTAAATATAACTTTTCTTGTACTCTCGTGCCAACCTGGGGTCTCAAAGTTGGGCCCAATATCCCCAAACGCATTTTCCTTTTATGCAAACCACATCATAACATGAATTAAACTGGTGTTCCTTAGGTCTTTGACTGTATCAACTTCCAAAAAAGTAATTTTCCCCCATGTTTTTGTCTCTGAAAAGGTGTTTTACCTGTTTTGGCTAGGAAATGGGAAATATTAGAAAGTAACCAGCATATACAGCAGAATAGAAACATGCATAGTGATCGATTTTCTCTGAAGATTGGGTATTGACTGAGCCATTTGTAACCAGCTCTAATGTCATACTCAGAAAAAAAATAAATAAACCTTAAAAAAAGGTTAACATAAAAGCAATTTTCCATCTTCATATTATAGTAAATGGGCAGAGAATGAAGAGCAACATGACTAAAATAAACCAAAGATTTGAAGAGCAAAATCAGAAAGACGAGGTGCAAAGTACTCTTCATTTCATCTACTTGGTCTGATGGCTTGGAGTAGCTATTTTTCTTCTCATACTGTTTGCTTTTAGAGGAACCTGAGAATCTTCTAATTATAGCCCAATTGTCAAAGGGTAATGAATTGATAACAAAATGTGATAGATACATACAGTGGAATATTTTATTAAAGATTTTATTTATTCATTTGAGAGAGACAGAGAGATCACAGGCAGGGGGAGGGATAGCAGAGGGAGAAGCAGATTCCTCACTGAGCTGGGAGACTGACGGAGGTTTCAAACTCTAGACCTGGACATCATGACCTGAGCCAAAAGCAGATGGTCAACCATCTGAGCTACTCAGGCACCCCCATATAGTGGAATATTATTCATCCTTCAAAGGGAAGGAAATTCTGACATATTCTGCACAACGATGACAATGTGGATGAACCTTGAGGACCAAATGTTAAGTGAAATCAGTAATTCACAAAAGGGCAAATACTATTTGATTCCACTGACATGAGGTACTTAAAGTCAAAATCATGGAGACTGAAAGTAGAATAGTGATCACCAGGAGCTAGGGAGGGCAAGGAGTTAGTGTTTAATGGATAGAGTTTTAGTTTCTCAAGATGAAAAGTATTCTGGAGATGGATGGTGATGATGGTTACACAACTATGTGAATGTACTTAATGCACCAGAATTGTACACTTTAAAAATAGTTATAAAGTGTTAAAGAGTCTCTCCCTTATATCTTCAATTAATTCACCTTTCTTGCTTTTGTGTCAGGCTAAGATCCTAATCTATATTCACAGGAAATTGTCTGCAGAACATCAAACATCTAGCAGCAATGTCCACAATAGCCAAACTGTGGAAGGAGCCTCGGTGTCCATCAAAAGATGAATGGATAAAGAAGATGTGGTTTATGTATACAATGGAATATTCCTCAGCCATTAGAAACGACAAATACCCACCATTTGCTTCGACGTGGATGGAACTGGAAGGTATTACGCTGAGTGAAATAAGTCAATCGGAGAAGGACAAACATTATATGGTCTCATTCATTTGGGGAATATAAATAATAGTGAAAGGGAATAGAGGGGAAGGGAGAAGAAATGGGTAGGAAATATCAGAAAGGGAGACAGAACATGAGAGACAACTAACTCTGGGAAACGAACTAGGAGTGGTGGAAGGGGAGGAGGGTGGGGGGGTGGGGGTGACTGAGTAGTGAGCACTTAGGGGGGCACTTGATGGGACGAGCACTGGGTGTTATTCTGTATGTTGGCAAATTGAACACCAATAAAAAATAAATTTATTATAAAAAAAAAAAAAAGAACACCAATCATCTGCAGCTTCACTAACCCCCTTTGGCTCCCTATGCAATTTGAGATCTTTTAGGACATCTTCAAGGGTGTGAAAATTAATAAAAGGAAAT